CCCTACAGTCAAATTTGAAAAAGAGTTTCCCGGTTTGTGGGACCAAAAACAAGCTCTATCCGTATGGAACATTTATCCAATCATTTAACAAAAGACTCACGCTGCCCAACATGAAAGTTTAAATTACCGGAAAACGATTGAGCTGTTGATTAAAGAAAATGAAGCTTAGTTAGTACATGACTTGAATTGCGGAATTATTGCGGATGTTGACGAGGAAGACAACAGCATTGAAGTTAAAATTAGGTAACTGGAAATCAAATGTAAAACTTAAATATTGTTAGACTTTTTTTAAATAATTTTTTTTGTTTTTAGGGCTAAAACGAGGTCTTCTTGGTTAAGTCAGCCCACCCAGTCACTGTTGAAGGCAACCATTAGCCCCATGCAGTTGTAAATGAATAAGTTGAGGTACCAACTTAAAAGATCCTCCTACTGTCCATGTTGATGTGCTACTGTGGTGGAGAAGTCATCGTAGGGAGAGTCCTCTTTTTTACTTAGTTTATATTTAGATACCTCAAGAGGTATCTAAATAAACGGTCTTATCACAGAGCACCGACTAAAAGCATTTATTAGAAAATTCACGTCTTTCCTAACCTATGTCACAAAATTTGTCGAGAGGTGGGGTTTGAGGCACGGATTATTTGTTTCTGAGGCAAATGCGCTACCACTACGCCACGACTGCTATTACCAAGTTTGCCAGAAAATAATTTGTGTATTAAAAAAAAAAATTTGAAGATTTATTTTTCATAAATAAAACAAGCTTTATTTTAAAATAGTTTGATTTTATAAAAGAAGAAGGGACCCTAATTTTCAAAATTTGAATAACCGAACTTTCGAACTTTGGTCACTCAACTTTATATTTTAACATTAGCCGCTCAAAAATTTTTCCCAGTCTATTTTCATTTATTTGTTTGAACATTTGACAAAATAATAAATTTTTTTAGACATCGTCTGCTTGCTCTGAGCATCAGAAGATGCAATTGTGACCTAAATAAAGAAAAAGTTTTATGTCGAAAATGTCCATATGCTAGTTTACTCTTAAGACAACTTGCCAAAAACCTCCAAAAACTTTTATAAAGATGAAGCAGAAGATGATGCTGAAGAGGAACTTCTTCAGGATGAAAGAACTGAAGTCTAGTTAGAAGGTTTATCCAAAATTCATTTCTTAAGGAAAATAAAAGTAACTAACACATCAGTCTTCAAAGTTGATACAAGGCTGGTTCTTCTTCAACCAGCCAAATTACAGTACTTTCAAGCATATGAGCTGGAACCTCTTCAAGCAACAGAGATGGAAATCCATCAACTATTAGGATGCAATTCATTGACAGTGATTAATTTCATATATAAATGTGAAAAATGTTCTTTTATTGTCCTTTTTTCACAAATTTATATGCCAAAATATTATTCGAAATCGAGAATACCTTTTTCATCTCGATAAACCGTTCAGTAATTAACGTTTTTTCTAACTATTCTCATATAAATATTAATAATCCACCCTTACCTTTATTCAAATTTGACGACTACACAAATTCAAAAACTTGAAATTGAGAAAAAATCGAATAAACTCGACCCAGCTTATACCACATGTTTAAGATAATTATTATACCAGATTTATTTTAAACTTAATGAAAGTTGGTACGCTAATTCTTGTTTTCTAACTTTCATTTATAGAATAATTTTAAGAATTTGCATGTTTAAGATAAGTTTAATATCAGATATATGTCAAGCATTTTTAAATGCTAGCGTATGTGATGAGCTTAAAGATATATTGAGGATTTTATGGTACCTTATAAACGGTATGCAAATAGTTTACTGTCTTCTACGGATAGTATTTTGAGCCAGCCGTCTTTTTGATAAGTGCTACAATAGTTTAGAGAATTATTCAGAGGATTATTTAGACTCATATAAAAAAAAAAACTAAAAGTTTTCAAGATATTCATACGTATAGATTTTACTGTTGGTGTAAAACAATCAGTGAAGTTAATCAATTTTATCAATTTATAAAAGTAGCTATAAAAAAAGAAAGTTTTAGTTTACGAAAATGGTTTAGCAATTTTGCAAGAGTTAAATGCAGAAAAAGAAGAGTATAAAAAATTTCGTTAAATGAGAAAGGTTATTACGCTAAGAGTTCTGGTTCTACGGCTGACTTGCTAACTGTAGCAACTGACTCTATCTATTTTTTAAAATTTTATTGTGTGTTAAATGCAACTGATAGACTCTATCGTGCATTAAATGGAGGCAACGAAGCTAGGACTATCTCTCATAACGTATCAATAGTTTTTAATAAGTGACATGCTGGTTTTCTCCATCAGGTTGTTCTCTATGGGTTTCTTATATGCTATGTCTGGTAATATTTAAGAGGCAATTAAATCATTTTTTCTAAATGCTTCGTCAAAATCAACACAACTTAGTTTTTTGCTGAAAGCAAAAATTGCAATAATGTGAACATGCTTATATGAATAACAATCTGTTTGCTGAGTCCTTTTCTTTACGTCTTCTTGATAATGATTCACTACTAAACTTTCATGGAAAATATTATTACAATTCTTAGCAAAATTAGCAATAGCTAAGATTGTTTCTCTTTATCGTGCCCTTTTCGTACTCCTGATTCCAATCTCTACCAATAAAAATCTTTTATTCGCCCCTGTATAGATATTATCGCCCTGTATTGACATTATCTCCGCTGTATAGATATTATCGCCCCTGTATAGATATTATTGCCCCTGTATAGATATTATTTTTGCTGAATAGATATTATCGTCCCTGTATAGATATTATCGCCCCTTTTTATTTTATGAGTTGGTTTTTATAATGATGCTCTTTCTCTTCTAAAAGGGTTCCACAAAAATGCTATGTAATTAGACACGTTCTATTTGCTAAGTTTGAGCCACTTTCCTGTTGTGGTAAGGTTGCATCTTCTCTTTCCAACAAATGTTATCACAGTTGCTGCTAAAACAAGCTATCATTTCAAGTTCCATCAACTAAATTATTGCTTTACTCGTCAGTCATTATTTCTTGCACTCCAATGCTTTGGAATTATCTACCATCTTCGTGTTTTCTTGACTCATATTACAATAAAGTTTTTAAGTCTTTTGTAGATAAAATCTATAACTACACAAGTCAATTAATAAAACAAAGATATTTTGTAAATAAGAAATTAATTCTGTTAGGTTTTAGGATAATTGTGAAGTGGTTAAAGCAACGAGCTGAAATTTAATTTTTAAAATACTTTCCGAAAAGCATTTTAGTTTGTTTTCAAAATTAGCAACATGCCAAAACAAAGCAAATATTCAGAAAGTTAAATCAAGGAGAGCGTTGTTTGCGAGTTAAAAAACACTACTAATGACTCTGTCAGTATAATTGAATATTCAAAAGATGGACCCCGCAATAACTCAGAGTAACTTAACTAGACTTCTGAGAGTTACAGCATATACATTAAGGTTTGTTTATCTTCTTAAAAAAAAGGACAAATAGGACTAAATAAACAAACTGGTGAATCAAAACAAAAGTTCAATAACTAAAGTAGTTGTGTACCAATTGTTATGTTATAACTAATATCACAGTGTCGGGAGTGCCGAAGTAAATAAGTTTTTTATTGTTTGTAAAACCGCTATCAATCAGAAATTAGAACTTTCACATCAAATGGTGTTGTTTTTTCTATGGATTGGAAATATTGTAATTCATTAAATATGGATAATCTTTAATTTCTCACTAATGTCTATAATATTTAAATCTTATTTATTTGGAAGTTTGAAAACGTTTTTACTGGTATGCTGTTGTTACAAGAAAATTTCCAATGGCTTTTTCAATACATTTTATAACTTTGTCGCTAGGTATTGGTAAAAAAAAAGCTAAACGCTAAAGATTTATTGATGGTATTTAGTTTGTTCTGTATTTCCTTTAAAAGATAAACTAAACGTTTTCTGGCGTTTACTTTTTTTAAAATAATACCCGGTATGCTTACTACGGCAATCTTATGCTTGATTTATTAAGTGAATTTTTGAAACCAACAGTGTTTTATCGAACGTTTTTTTTTAAATATAATGCCTATTTTCAAGGGTGTTTGTTATAGCTTAGAAAAAACATTCAAGCTTAAATTAATAGATGCATTTTAAGAACAGGCTTTTTTAAATAATCATCACAAGCAAATTGTTTTGGAAAAAAAAAGAAAGAAGCTATTTATCAAAAGAACTGTTTATGAGTTAAACCAAAACTTTAAAAAGTTCTTTTTAAATAACTAAAAAATAGCAAACTTCAATCAAATGCACCAAAGTCTATGGCCATACACTTTGACAAAACATCGCCACCTCGGGGTTGTGGTGTTGGCGGACTTGTAAACGACGCACCCCTATAAAATACTAATAATTGCGACCAAAATTGTCCCAATTTTTCGATCAATTATTTAATGTATATATCGTTGTGTCAATCCCTAATGGGTATTCAAAGCATTTACATTTAATTCTATTTATCACTTATGATCAATTGATGTAATTACACTTTTATTAATTTAATTAGCTAATTTTATTTGGTCAGTAAAATATAATTTTAGATAAAACGTGTTTTGAATGGTTTTTCAAAAAACAAAGACCAGATATATTACTGAAATGAGGAGAAATGTTGGAGAGTGCTTCTACATTGACTAATTTAGGTATGACATGCAAGGGAATGCTGCAACATCGACTGAGGGTTTGGGTTAAGACAGGTATAGATCAATCGATGTAGCAGCACTCTCCTACATTTCTCCTCAAATTGGTAATAATCTGGTCTTCGTTTTTAAAAAAAATCAAAACCTCATTTTGAGTCATAGTATCTTTCGCCATAAATTACGTCACGCTATAAGGGGGGAGGGGGGTTGGTGGTTTTGTGACGACTTATTCAAAACTCGCTTCTTAAGTGTTACGATGTTGTGACGAGGGAGGGGGGGGGGGGGAAGGAGTTCGAAAACGGTCAAAAATTGCGTGACGGAATTTATGGACGACCCCTTACCGTTTTAAACATTGGGGGTGCGCCGTTTACACGTTTGCCCTTATATGATATGTATCTTATGTATATCTTGTATTTTGCAGCATGTTCAAGAATATTTCTGCATGGTGCACTCTGACTGTTGATAATATTTGCATACTGAAATGACTTCAACAACCAGAATGTGTTTTTGATAAATATTAGTAATAATAGGTTAGTAAATATAATTAAAATAATAATGGTAATAATAAAAATTAGTGGGAAACTTATGTATGATAGAATTGCATAAACTTTGGGGGACAAATATAATGATTGGAGTAAATATTACCCTTGTTTATTACCTCGATAAAAGTAATGTAAGAAAATATTATTTTTATCTAAAGAATATTTGGCAAAAATCAGTATTTTCTAAGTATTAAATATTATAAAAAAACATGTATAAATATTATATAAAAAAAATATGTATTTAAGTATAAAAAAACACATGTATTAATATAATGTACATATATCACACATTAACTATATTGTCTATAAAGTAGGGGTTGCAGCTGATATTTCAGCTTCAGCTTTAAACTCATTAGCTTCAGATTAAAGCTGAAGCTGATCAAGTCAGTTTAATCAGCTTGATAGCTGATAGTAAAAGAGAATAACACTCCATAAATATTTTTTTATAGAAACATATAGGAATTTATTCAGTGAAAACCTAAAATAGTGACAAAATTTAAACACGCATGTATAAAATTTTAATTAAAATTTGCCAAATGTTGTTGTTACTTATAAATGTTGCTGTCAGAGCCTAGGCCTAGGACTTACAATATTAGGGGAACCAAATTAGGTTTTTAGAGATTTGTTTAAAAAGCGGTGACCAAAAATCTAATTCCATTTTAATTATCTTAAGGGGACCAACTATTTTGCAAAAATAAATTTTTTGCAAGTATATTCAAAAATATACTTGCAAAGTGTACTCTTTTTTGCAAAAAGAGTACACTTTGCAAGTATTTCATAGGTGAAAAAAAAAAAAAAAGAAAAAACTGTTAAAACTTTTCTTTTAAAAATATTTTTCTTCAGAATGGAATTTTTTTGCTAAGTGAGGATGTTGGTCTAATAATGTAGCCACATCCGAACAACTTTTATTTTGCATATTAAATTTGACTGTTAAGATGGCAAATAATATTTTTACAGAAAGTTGCAACTTCTCACTGCTCCAATAATCATTCCTTAGTAAAAATACCCTTATAACAGCAGTTTTAGTGCCTGGACAACAGGCACTAAAACTGCTGAGAAAATTGTCATTAATAACAAGAGAAAATTGTCATTAATAACAATATCTTTTACTTCTTTCATTACAAATTTGACTGCTGAAGAAACTTCTTTCCATTCAATTTTACTATTTAGAAGGGTCCATTTGAAACAATTCAATGCTCTAAAATTCACTAACCATTCTTTGATTTATTCATAGTAAATTTTATAAAAATTTTAAACTTCTTTTAAAAAATTTTTTATTCCGGGATTGGATTCTTTCAAAACGGTCAGTTTATAGGCTTTAATATAGCCTTTTATAATGTATGTTGTAGTGTATGTATATATTTTCTTTATTTAAGTTTGCCTTTATTTTGCTTTTTTACATTTTTCTGCAAAAATTGTTTTCTGTCACTTTGTCTTTCTGAACTTATGTGATTAAATATTTGTTTTCTCTAACATATTTTTTCACTCATCTTATCTCATCCGTTCTTTCTCTCTTTTTTTTCATTTTTCTAAGCGTTACTCCTTTATATTTTTGTTCTTATTCCAACTTTTTATTATTGTTCTTTATACTTCTTTTTTTATTACTTGTATTAATGTAGTTTACTTTCTTTATTATTTCCTTATTTTAATAATTTTTATTTTATTTGTTTATTTTATTAAGGTGTCGCTCCATTGACTAGTTTTTAATATGAGTGACACCAAACAGAATTTGTAAATTATAATTAGATTTGACATTTTTGATTTAATGGTTAATTAACCAGTTGTACATACTACTCATGCGTCAAGACTGTCAAGCATGCCCATACTGCACATCAAAGATCAGCCAGGGGATTACATACACAAATATTGCAGAGATTGATATATCCCTCTCTTTTCACAAATGTAATTTTGACATTGTTAACAAAAGAGGTCTGTAGTATCTATCTCTACAAGTACATAATACAACTTCTCAATTGTGCTGAAAAAGGCAGCCATATGTGCACGCAAAATTCAAATCACTGTCAAATTCATGTCTGGTTTTTGCCATGTTCTCTGACCTGCCGTAAAGGGCAAGTAATATGCGCGTGAGTACTTTCAGATTACTGGATATTCAAATGAGTACTTTCAGAGTACTGGATTTGAAAAGAGTAGGGTTTGTGAAAAAAGAGTACAAAACTCAGTAAATGAGTATAGTTGGTCACCTTAACTATCTACATAATGTTTTGGTAGATTTCAAAGTTCATTTATTAAAGTAGAAAAGCATCTAGAAAAACATTTATTAAAGTAGAAAAGCATCTAGAAAAAATATTAAAAATTTCAGTAGCGTTTTTCATAATGCTTAACTTTTAATATGATATGTTTTCATAAAGTTGTTTGTCACATTTTTATAAGTTACTTTAGTTTTAATATTATTTGAACATCCACTTTATTCTTCTAGATAATTTTCTACTTTAATTAAAATTTGGGAATGCTAATGTTGCTTGAACAAAGATTGAATTTTAAAAGTTATAAGTGCGTTATAAAAGTAATAACACTATTATAGTGTTATTACTTTTGTAATGCAGTTAGTGACTAGAGTGTTATTACTTTTGTAATCGTAAGTTTATTGTTTTATTTTTTTGCTTACAAATTTAAGTTGATTCTTCCCTCAAAAACAAGGAACACAGTTTTTTAAAAAATTAAATTTTGAATACTAGATATTTTTCCAGATTTTGCGTTTTGCATTTGCTTAATTCAACCCTTGTTGTTACATTAAAGTTATAGAAATAAATTTTAGAAAGACATTGCAGTTTGTAATTTTGCTATCCTCTTAAAAAAAACTAAGAAAAGGAAAATCATTCTTTTTATTGTAGACTTCAAACTTTTTTTTTGCTTCGCCTCATCTTATTATTGTTGCTGAATGTAACTCTAAAGAAACAAAAATAAAAACAGTACACAAATTATTTAAATTATTAATTTGTTTTTATTTTTTTCTATTTCAATCTCTGTTTATTTTGTTTGTTTTGTTTTTTTTGTTTTTGAAACTTTTTCAGCATTAATATAAAACTTGCAAGCGGCCGTGTTCACGTTTTCTAAATTAGTGTAATTGCGTGTGGTCATACGAGAAAAAAAACTGCACGCCTTTTCTAGGAAGGCTTGATATATATATATATATATATATATATATATATATATATATATATATATATATATATATATATATATATATATATATATATATATATATATATATATATATATATATATATATATATATATATATATATATATATATATATATATATATATATATATATATATATATATATAAGCAGAGCTTTGTCTACGGGGCTCATTTGCAAATTTTGGGGGCCTTTTTACTCTAAACTCTCTGTACTCTTTGTGTGGTTCTCCTCTGATATTAGAAGATGGACTTTTTAAAGTTGAAGAAAAAGTTTTTGAAATTGTATGACACCATTTTACTTGGTTTAAATTTGTTTTTATTTTATAATATTGGACGAGGCCCCCTGTAATTCTTCTGGATTAGAGAATTTTTAATTTTAAACTTGATAAACGCTTTTCATAAGAATTGTGCTTGAGACCTGGGACAAGCTTTGTAGCTCTTTGCTGAACTTTTTCAAGTTTACTTATTTCATTTTTCAAATATGAATTTCAAACTGGTGCACTAAACTCTAATTCAGGTCTAACATAAGTTGTATATAGTTTAGTAAAGGAGTCAATTGACCAGAATTTAAATGTTTGCTTTTGTGTACCTAGTTTTGAGTAAGCTTTATTGGTTATTGTGGTGATGTAGTCTTTCCATTCAGATTATTGCTTATGTTGATACCTAGGTCACGTTCCTGTGTTGATTCGTTTAATTTGATGATTGTTCCATCGTGGGTTGTTATATTTAGTGGGGCAGCTTGATTTATTTGGTCAATTAATTTTTTTGATTTGGTACTGTAAACTTTCGTAATTTAACATTTTTCATAATTTAATTTCATGCTCCATTTTTTTGTCTATTCAAATATTTTATTGAGATCATCTTGTAATATTTCATGATCTTTCTGGTTTTTGATTACAGCTATTAACTTATTATCATCAGCAAATAGCTCAGACATGTCATTAATAAGTAGGTTAAATAGAAGTGGAGATAAAACATCGCCTTGTGGTACACCATTTAATACTGGGAGCCATTCAGATACTTCATTATTAATTACAACCCTTTGTTGCCTGTTTGAGAGAAAGATGTGTAGCCAATTTGAAAATATTTTAGTAAATGCAAGGATTTTTTTTACAAATGTAAGGATTTTTTTTTTAATTTGGTATTTTTATTTAGATTTTTTTTATTTATTGGAAAAGTTTTTAAGGACTTTTGGGCCCTTATGACTATAAGGGCCCTCAAAGTTCTTAAAAAACTTATGTTTTTTTTTTTTTTGTTGAATGGGAGGGGGGCTTGTATCTAATAGCCACGACACTGTATATAAGGTATATACAATATATATCAAATTATATACAGTATAAATTTAAAATTATATTTATTTAATAATTTTATATAATTTATTTAACAGTAACTAAAGGAATGTAATCAATTTATTATATGAATCATAAGCGTGTGCTTATCTATTACAATTACATTTTAAAACTTTGAAATAAACGTTGATTATAAAATTAAAGGTTATGTTTTTCTACCTTGAATAATGAAAATTACATTTTTTATCTGAAGAGTGTTAAAAGAAATCGTACGAGTTTTATAATATATTAAAAATAATGTATGTGTTACCTATAAAATTTTAAAGCTAACAGTTAAATTTAATTTTTTTTGCAGCTCATATTGAAATGAGATATTGTGTAAAGAGGTTTTCAAAGAATTCGCTTTAACAATAATGATAAAACTTTCAATTCCCGAGATAACCGTGAAGGCATTCGATACATAATTGAAGAATCGTTTAAAAGTTTGCTTATTTGACAGTGTAATTTTAATTACTAATTTTTTAAAATAAACCAATCAAGTTATAAATAAATTTGCTTTTTCTGTAAATTTTAAACACTCAAACTTAGTTTTGCAAGATTTGCAATGGGTAAACTTCGTGGGATTCCACGGTATACCCGGCGGGCATACCTATATGGGCTCCAGAGGATAACCGCAGCCAAGATCCGGCCAGTTCTCGATGGGTTTCCCATATGGGTCCTATTTGCAAACCCAAATGAGTCCCTTATAGTTTTAAAGTACAAGATTTGACTGGGATACCCAGCGGGATTCACCCATATGGGTCCCATATGGAAACCACGGCCATGATCCGGCGGAATACCGTTGGTCTACTCATATGGGACCCAGTTGACGACCTGTATAGGCCATGTATGGTACCCGTATGTCAATGTTGGCTGTGTTATACACGAAACTAGAGTTTTTTATTTTATTTACTTAATTTATATTTATTTTACATAGTGACTTACTTTTTTAGAACTTATTCAGAAATTTTATCAAATTTCAAAATATATAAAAGCAATGATAGTATTGTTTATAAAACAAGAAATGACAGTTTCTTGAAATTTATGAGACCCTACCACTGTCTAGCCAGAATATAGGTAAATCTGGTCTTGCGATTAACATAAAATGACTTATTAGTAATAAATTTGATATAAAATAATTTTTTTTTGTTCTTTAGAAACTTTAATCCATTCCTTGATTTGTCACTTCAAAATATCTCAAAGAAGTGAACCTTAGACAAACTGCTGGTGTATTGTGGAAGTTAAGAAGGTAGAGATGAATCTCAAAATATTGCTAAACTTTTTGACCAGACAGTTCAAATGTCCACAAGACCTGCACAAAAGAACTCTGCATCAAATGTCCACAAGACCTGCAAAAGTGATAATGCAGATAATATCCTAGCAGCCATCCAAAAACTAACAGAGAAAAATCAGGAATGCCTTGGGTATGTTGACCATAATATACTTAACCTTGTAGTGACTGAGTGTCTCGACATCCCTAAAGTAAATAATACTGTTGTTGCATTCAGGAATATGTCATTCAAACTCACAAAAGCAGCATTTACCAACATTTACAATCAAAAAGAATATGTCATGATAAACAATAAATGTAGGTACGATTCAAACATTGAAACAG